TAGATGAACGATGATGTAGAGTTTCAGTTTGATGAGTTGTACAGCGGTTCCACACTGATCAGCAGTGAATATTCGCTAAGCCTCTACAATCACATCTTCAATAGAAGTCTTGATCTCGCCTTAACTACGTACATCTTATCAAGCTAGATGTTGTAAAACTCGCGGTCGTTGCTTCAGGAACATGCTACAATCACTGATAAGGATGACATCGATGCGACCATAGAACTAAATACACTGGAACGCCAACGAGCCCGTTAGAGCGAATTATGCTCGTCCTCGCATGCGCGAAGATAAAAGTGCCATGTTTACTTCCGGTAGGCCTGACGCTTTGGCGGAGTATTTGGAATTCCAGTTTATCGATGTCATTTTAGACGTAAGTGTTGGCTGAATTTTCTTAAAATAAATATTAATTTGGAAATATTCCAATGAAATACAAAATAAAATTCTGTTAAATGCTCATTTTTCATTCGTAATTTGTATTTGAAAGTAGCCTTTGGCTTGTATAGTTCGGCAAGTGCCGGTGTCAAATCATGCGGCAATTATTAATTCATGAGAGAAAAAATAAGCTTATCAATTTAGAATAAATCATTGGCCAATTATATTTATTCCCAAAATAAGAATTAATAAAAAAAAGTCTATAGAATTCTGTAGTACCTATTCTATTCCTACAAAAAACTGTAGTGATCCAATTGCCAAACTACAGAATACTACAGTATTAATTCCTATACGAGTAATACGGCATAACTCTAGAATTTTCCTACAGAAAATGCGATAAAAAGAAATCTATAGGAGACTATAGTAGAATGTCCTATAGAAATTTTGCCAAAAATCTGTAGGAAAAACAATAGGATATGCACACGTAGAAGGTGTTCTGATTTGATAAGTAGGTAATTTGTGATATAGGCCTAACTTAGTACCTATTTCTTAAAACAGTGATCAGCTGTCAAAAAAAGTCACAATATGCAGGCAGAATTCTCTGCGCATTTTTATGAAGATTTGTAAATGTAAAATAATACTACTAGGCCTTGTAATATATTCCTACATATTTCTATAACAGGGTGATCAGCTGTCAAAAAAATAAATAATAATTGTGATGTGCAGGCAGAATATGTCACTGCATTTTTTGCAGATTTGTAAAGTTAAAATAATATAGACCCACTAGGCCTCATTATGCCCTGTCTATTTCTAAAAACAGTCATAAGCTGTCAAAAAAAAAGTCACAATATGCTGGCAGAATTCTCTGAGCATTTAAGGAAGATTTGTAAAATTTAAAAAATACTAGGCCTTGTAATATAGGCCTACATATTTCTAAAAAAAAAGGTGATCAGCTGTCAAAAATAAAGTCATGATAAGCAGGCAGAATATTTCACTATTTTGTGAAGATTTGCAAAATTAAAATAATATAGGCCTACTAGGCCTCATTTTTATATAGGCCTACCTATTTCTAAAACAGTGATCAGCTGTCAAAAAAAAGTCAAAATCAGACAGAATTCTCTGAGCATGTTATGAAGATTTATAAAATTAAAATAAATTGACATTTACAGGGAGGAAGGCGTTTGCCCACTATCAAGGAGATTTGGATTTTGATTCAGATGTTTGTTGAGAAAATTGCCTGTTTTCCCTTTTTGTCAGTGGTGCATCAGGTAGCATTGCATATACTGTATTATGGAAGCATGAAGGAGTGCATTAAATATCAAAACTAAGTTTGGATTGGCACCAAGTACTGTGGATCAGAATGAAATAATTTTTTTTTTATTAAAAGGAAATAATAAATTTGAAATATGAAAAGTTGTGGATTTAAACGTTTATAATATGTGTATTTGCAATATAATAGAGGCCCACAAAATGTAAAGACATTACTATTCTGAACTATGCTTATAGTGAAGTGACACTGTGTGAAGCTAATGTTTTTAGGATCTCGAAAATTTGCCCAAGAAAATATACCATAGTTGCATTCACATTGAACCTTAAATTTGTATAAATTTATGACAATTTCACACATTTAATCAGAGAGAAAAGTTACCAGATTTATGCATATTTTCATTCACCCTATTGTAAATTGTGATCCGTGTGTCAAAGTTACAATAAATGGTTTTATGTAATAATAGAGGAGGGAGTGGGTAAATTTTACAGTTTACTGAATACACCTGTACCAGTACACACCTGAGCTGCATATCTTATGAATTGAATAGAAATTGACTTTAAACACATTGAGGAGAATTCATAATTTCATTGAGTGGACAAGATAGACAGTCTCTATCCCTAGTACATTTTCAAAATATTCACAATAATCCAATGATTTCATTCATTATATTTATTAAAATTATTTCCAAAAAATAGAATGTGTAACTAAAAGTGTATAATGTACAGTCAGTTGATAGCTGAGTCTATTCCAATTTTTCACAAGAAATATATTTCAAAGTCTTTCAGGCACTCGCATAACAGCCTGCTTTTCATTCAGTGCAACAACTATTTTAAAGTTAGGATTTAGGGATGAATCAACACTCAGTGCGGGTGGTTATTTAGGAATTATATTTTATTGTCCTTCTTCCATGTTAGAAATTCCTTGTTCACATCAAATGAAAGTTCTTCATAAAATTAAATACAATGGCTTTTGTATTATTGGTCTAAAAAAAATACATATTAATTATTAGTAGTAGTATGTTTGAACATAAAATAGAGTTTCTTCAGGGATTTCTGTGTCTACAAATTACAAATAAATTTTACAGTTGAATAAAGAGAAATGCAGTTTTATTTATACTAATATAATTTATGCATAAATGAAAAAGGCAGTTGGTGTCAGACTTTACAGATGGGTTTATATTCAAATCAGACTCAATACCAAGAATGTACGACCGATTTCAGGTAATGCCATGGGAATTGGCACAAGAAAAACTTTCTTCAATCAGCATTATTCACTTGATAGCTCTTTTAATTTTACTCAAACAAGGCCTTAATTTATATACAAATCCACTCCTTCAATGACACAAATCTGATATCCTTTTCTTCTTGATTATCATGTGAATTTTTTCACAAAGAAATAATATTCAAAAGGAAAATTCCATTTGTACATTTTTCTTTGAATTAGATCAAATAATTTAAATTTAAAAACAAAATACCAGTATTCATTTTTTTTGTACTTTTATTTTATTAGTTCCCCAATATTGTAAAATTAGAAGTATGGTTGTGCTCACTGAAATATTACTAAATCAACTTTTTGAAATTCATTCACATTCCTGACAGGCCTATAAGTCTATAGACAAACAAAAGGGTTTGGTACGTAATTCCGTCCCCGACTTAAACCAGTCATTACATTTTCATTTTGTAAATCGATTCATTTATGTTTTCTCAAAAAAAAAAACCGATGACTTGATTGTATGAATTATAGGCCTAATGACATTAGTGAATTTTCAACATACCTGTTTATAAAGACAGTGCGCAGTTTGTAAATTGTACTGTGCTGGCAGCCAGTCGACGTCGTCGCTTCCAGTTCTTCGTCATTTTACAACTCTCCCTGTTGCATTATTTATGACATTTTTTTTATATCAATAATAAATGATGAGCGAAGATCACAACATTTGTTTGGAGTGAGGCACAAATGAATAAATATTTAATCCAATTCACTCGCTTGCTTTCAACATTATCAGGCTAACAAAATTACGTGATAATAACAATATACCGGAAGTAAACTGGGCACTTTTTCGAAGCACATCACACAGCCACAAATTTTACCGGAAGTAGACGCTCGTTGGCGTTCCAGTGTATTTAGTTTTATGATGAGACTTAATGAGCCCCAAATATTTGCTTTTTTACTCCGACAAATTAAATTCTAAAACATTTTTTTTACCCCGACAAATTAAATTCTTAAACATTTTTTAAAGTATTAGAAAAATAAATAACGACGTTTGAAGTATTTGTAGGTAAATATTGTTTCCTTTTTAGTGTAAATGGGTATAAAAATGAGTAAAAGACAGCATTCTGCCCGAAGCAGTAACGTTTTATGTAAACATTGCACGCCCCATTGAGCCAATGATTGAAGTCGCGTGATGTGACGTCATGTGCTGAAGGCAGTCATCTTTTACAGAGATATTAGAAGACTTTCGTAATCCTCTGTGGAACAGATTGCAGCGGTTCATGGTTCCCAACAGTTTTCCGAGCGTAGTTACAATACAATTGATAATGACGTCACAATGAGAACGATGTAATGCCAACAAAATGACGTAACGACGTCATAATAAGATCGTAGGTTATGTCGGCATTTTTGAACTCGCGAGTATCGATATCCTATAGGCCGTTAATACATTTATTTGCACTAAAGTCAACTGATTCGGAGATTTTGGCGATTTTCTGGTCCACTGGCGGCCATCTTGGATTTATGTTACTTATGCAAATTTCCCCAAGACCGATAATGGCTGCTTTTGTTATGGAAGTACTAGAGACCATACCTGAACGGTTCCCAGAGAAATGATTTCTGTTGCAGTTTGTTCTAGGTGTATTGTTATCTATACCCGCCTACAAAGGAGAATCGAGCAAATATATATACAATAAGAAATGTTATTGAAGAAACGTTTATGGAGAAATGTTTTGTAAGATTTGTATTTGGAGATTTGTATTTAGAAAATTCTTTTTCGTTGTATTTCTCTGATGCAATGTAAATTCAGGCTAATTTTTGATTTTCTAAAATAAATTTTATTGTTAGGCCTATATTAAAATACAATTAAAATATATTTTACAAATCTGATATATATGACAAATGTCTGATTTGTAAAACAAATATTGATTTTAAAATACAAATGTTATTTTTAGTGAACAAATGTCGAAATACCGCTACAAATGAAGAAATAAGAATTAAGGACTATGAACTAAGAACACTGAATACAGAACACTGAATAAAGAGCTGTTTGATCTTCCATATGTATGTATATCACAAATAAACATTTTTAATATAGATAGATCGGTATAAAATAAGTACACATTGCATCTTTGGTGTATATTTATAGGTCGAATTTATGGCAAAGATAAAAATTGCAAAGAGTATATTAGCACTAACAGAATCACCAACATTAAACGTCTATTGAACATGAAGACTACACCGGAAGTTGAAGACCACCTGCACAGACTTGGTTATCCAAATAGGATTACAACATCCGGTGATATCTACATACCCGATTTACCAGACCTCAATATTCCTATTCCACGAATTCCTGTAATTGTGGCTGGGGCCTCCAATAATCATTTTACAGAGATGCAAGCTATGATGCATAATATTGATACAGTTCTAAGACCAGTTTATCCGGATATTAAAGTTATTTTATATGACATCGGATTTACAGAATCACAAAGACAGGCAGTGAGTTATAAACTGGTCTATCCCAACAATTTATCATTCAAAATATTACATACAATTTGATACACAAATTTGCGATAAAAGTGAACATTTTAATAATCTAACCATTTCATTAAAATTTATCTCATTAACGACTTTCATATGAAAGTACCTTTAAAGATCATATATGGAAGACCAAACAGCTCTTTATTCAGTGTTCTTAAGAATTAAGATTAAGAACACTGAATAAAGAGCTGTTTGGTCATCCATAATTGTAGGGCTATGCTTTATTCTTATGTTATCCTCTTGGTCCAGACTTTAGAGCGAAATGAAATTACCCTATTTAACAGTTTGATTATCTGATAATACATGTTTAGCGTGATACTTCAATATTGTGTTAATAAGAAATATAATTTATGTTCACAGAAAAGATGAATATATTTTCAGATAATTAACTACGGGAGATGCGAGTTTAGAACCTTCAACTTTGAGAAATATCCCAAGCATGTTAAAGTAATTCGTTCTTATAGTTGGAAACCCCTCATTATACAGGTAATTCATTGTCACTTCTTTTAACATTTACCCCTAACATTGTCACTTTACCCCTAAGATTGTCACTTCAAGTAACCTTTACCCCTAACATTGTCACTTTACCCCTAACATTGTCACTTGAAGTAACCTTTACCCCTAACATTGTCACTTTACCCCTAAGATTGTCACTTCAAGTAACCTTTACCCCTAACATTGTCACTTTACCCCTAACATTGTCACTTGAAGTAACCTTTACCCCTAACATTGTCACTTTACCCCATAGACTGTCACTTGAAGTAACCTTTAACCATAGGATTGTCACTTTACCCCTAGGACTGTCACTGGAATGTAATGTTGCTTTGCTATAACTGGGGAAACGAGTTTCGATTATCATGTGTTAGTCCCAAAATTAAACCCCATTTCGCCCTCTCCCCCTTTTTGTGAAAATGTGAAAATATTCTTGGATGATTTCTGGCGCAGCGGACAAAAGATTCAAAATATAAAATCCATGGTGTGGGTCATCCAGGTTGCTTAGTGCAGGGGAGCATCCTTACTTATAAACGGTACTTCTTACATCAAACGTAATTTCTATCCGGATGTAATGACTTTTAAAATGTTACCCACATTTAATCGAGGGGGGAAAGGGGGGGGGGCTGTAAAATTTGGGGTGGGGACTTTAGTGACGTAATGGTTTAACGCACATGATCACAAGGTCTATCATTGAGTCAATCAGTGTGCTTTCGATTCCCCGCTTGTCCCCTGGCTCCCTCCCACTGCCAAAAACCCCTAAGCGAATTATTGAAATAAAATTGAACCATGTCGTAGTTCCGAAATGACGACCTAGTTTGTGTCGATTGTACGCCTAGCCCCATATTTTTCTCCCCAGCTCACTATTATATGTATGTTATTCCAAACAGTACATCCATCTCTTGTTTGGTAAGATCAAATCCGAGACATCCAGGCTAGCTAGCCAAGGTCTTACCCACTGAGATATCGCGGCTTCTTATGTCAATAAATAATAATCATTAGTTATGCAATGTTCTACAATTATTATATATATATATTTTTATTTTAATATACAGGAAGTATTAAATGAGTACGGGTTTATAATGTATATGGATGCTTCAATACGATTTACCACAGGAAACCTGACGAGTAGTTTCAACGATGTCAAGAAAAAGGGCCTCACTCACCTCTACGCTTACACCTATTTTATTCCTAATAACACATTTGCTGAAACGTTTGAATATTTCAATGTGGAACCGTGTTTACTTCATGGTCTTTATGAGACTGGATCCGGACTTATTCTCGTGGTGAAAAATAACTTGTACGGTTACGCCATGATGAGGTCCTGGTTGACATGTGGTCTTCAGAGATACTGCTTTGAGCCGAAGGGATCAAGGTGCCAAGACGCCTGTGGTTCCAGAAAAGAATATCATACCTGCCATCGCTTTGATCAGTCGGCTCTAGGCATTGCTATTGCCATGACTTTCCTTGACGAATCCCATGGCGTTCCTAGACAGTTTTATCATGTTGGAAGGGGAGATCGAATGGATTACTTTAAAAACATTTCGAAAGGCATAATTGGACCCAAGTCAGACGGCAGGACTGCAGGACCTAAGTCAGACGGTAAAACTGAACCTAAGTCAGGCGGTAAAACTAGACCTAACCCACGCAGCAAAACGGGACCAAAGCCAGGGGGCAAAAGGGAACATGAATAAAAAAAATATGTTTTTTGCTTAAGATAAGTTTTACACATTAATTATTTCACTGATTATTGAATTCAAACGCATAATTGGACATGTGGTGGAGATGTGCGTACTATGGAAGACAAATGATAGAGAAAAACGGGGTTTAACGTCCACTCCACACAAACAAGGTCATTCGGGACTAACACATGGTTCAATTTTATTTCAATAATTCGCTTGTGCGTAGGGGTCTTTAGCTGTGGGAGGAAACCGGAGGACCCGGGGAAAACATACGAGGTTGGACAGGCGACCTTACTGCTTGTCGCATACAACCGAGGAATCGAAACCACGGCAGTTGATTCAGTGACAGCTCTTATGATACAGCGCGCACGTGCTTTTTTTTCTTTTTTTATAAATATTTATTCACACAATATACATTGTACAAAATACATAATTCTATTTTCATTCTACAAGAATAATTTCACAGGATATTTACAGTTTAAAAGTTGTATATATAAATATACCCATACACACACACACACACACACACACAAACACAAACATACCCACACACTCATCTTAAATAAAAACATATTTTTCAGTTGATATATTAATACAAATATATCAATTTGTAGTTTCATTAATAGTTACCTGTGATAAGTAATAATATAGTTAGTATATGTATTTATATAGTCAATATGTGATCTGCACTGGAAAGCATAATTCTATATTGTAAAAGGTTTCGCTCTATACCTAAAATAAAAAATATATTTCAAATAATTTCGAACCACGTGGCCTCAAGAGAGCGAAAATTCTCGAGGCAAGTTAGGGCGTGGAAGGAAATTGTATAGACAATTTTAAATGAATAATATATTAACATGTCATATTTATCTGTACATCTGTACATAGCCTTTTACAATACAAAACATATTAAATATACATGTATTTATAAATAAGTTGTAATGGACCATTCGATTCCTTTTATTTTTAGGGATTAAGGCGCAATTTAACTTCATTATTCTCAATACGTAATACATTAGATGTCTCGAACAGTTCTCTAAAGTGGTTTTCTTTAAAATGAAACAAAAGATATTGAAAATGAGATTCGATACATTTAATAAATAATTTGATTACATCTATTACTTTCCCACTTTTAACATACACATTTCGCCGTTTTATTATGGCTAGACGAGCAAATGAAAGTAGGAGAATAAGTATATTATTCTTTTTACTCTCCTTAATGTGTTTTGTTCCAAACAGAATGAGATGATGAAACTCAGACAGGCTGAATCCTTCAGGATAAAAATTTATGAGACTAGATCTTAAATATTCACGAAATGTTGAATTACCAGGACATGTTAAGAATAAATGGTTCATATCTTCAATTTGTCTTCTTTGGCAGAGTGTACAAAAAGGTTCATCAATAAGTCTATATTTATATAATTTCTCATTGGTGTATATAATATTATGTACAATTCTATAGTCATTTTCAATACATTCATTGCTTTTAAAATAACAAAACATAGATGCCCAAACATCTTTCCATACAACATTAAAGTGTAACTGATCCCAAAATAATTCACTTGTTGGTTTCTGATAGAATTTGTCTCTTAATATAGTATAAAATATTTTAGATGTACAATTTTCAACCGGCAGACTTCTTTCTCCATAAGGGATACATAAATATATTTCGTTATGAATCACGTGGCTTTCGTTATCAATAATATTTAACCACGCCGCTGGGGGTATAGACGAACAAATAATATTAAAACATTTTTCAATTTTGGTATAATTAAAGTCTTCATCATCACAATTAAACAGATCTAGTATATGTGTTAAAGGAAGAAAACCCGGTATTACACAATAAATATGTCAGCAATTTTTACAATTTTATGCAATATATAATAATCAAAATGTATAGTTTTACCATTACATAGAATATGTGGATTATCAAACAAAGGCTGGTTTAAAATATCGTTATAGCTAGGAGGCATTATACGAGTGTCATTATTAATATTATTCCACGCAATTAACACAGCTCTATAAAATATTGGTATATTTTCAAGAACACCTTTAAAACATTTCATAGAAAATACTTCTATATCTAAATTCATTTTATAATATGATTTTAAAAAGTAATTGAATAAGTGTTTCCATACAGCATTATAAGAATTCTCAATATATCTTTTTAGCCAGGCAAGTCTAAAAGCATCTTGTCTTAAAATTATTTTGGGAATATTTAAACCTCCTTTGGGTATGAGTGCCGAGAATAGTGGAACTTTTTATTACGTTTTTTTTTACCATTCCACAAGAAATTCTTAATAGCTGATTCGATATCATTGACAATGTAATCCGGTATGTTTAAGATTCTTAATGGATACCATAAATTGACATACATAACATATTAATTACAATAGATTTCCCCATTAAAGTAAGGTGTCTTTGGGACCACATATTTAAAATATTTTTAATTTTAGACAATTTGGGATCCCAGTTTCTATGTGTACAGGCGGTAAGATTTGGCCCCAAATATATTCCTAAGATCTCGATACAGTCATGTATGACTTTAACATCTACAGCTAGAGTTACATTATTATATTTAACAGAGCCTGCAAGTAAAAGTTCGGATTTTTCAACATTTATTCTAGTGCCGGAAATTTAACAATAAAGATCAAGCTGGGAGAATGTATTAATAATCGAATCTGTATTAGCTAGGGTGAGGGTACAGTCGTCAGCGTGCTGATATAAAAGAGATGGGGTGGGGGGGCAAGGTATTGAAATACCAGTAATGTTAGTATTGGATTTGATGAGGACGTGCTAACCTTTCGACCATCCACCCGTCCAGTATGGAGGGCACTCTAGAAAATCTGTTTAATGCATGATGAGATATATTGACCTACATAGGCTGTTGAGCACGAGTCATTGGGGTACACCTAAAGCCACAACAGAACGGCTAGAAGTAAAGGTTTCGGAAAAAAAAATTCAATTTCCCCCCCAAATCTTGATTTCGCCAGTTTTCGAACCTCAATATAAAACAGTGGAATCAATTGTTTAGCTTTATAAATCCACAAACTAATTAACCAAGAAACATCATTTATTCTTCACGTATAACTTTCGTCATTAAAAACAAGCCAACAGTGAGGCTGGTGTCCCCCGCCGAAATCCCAAAATAAATAGATGACACATATTAATTAATCGCACATTTATTTTATCGAGCAATCAAACTACACACTAAGTTTCATCACTCTCTATCAGATAGAATCAAGATTATCTTGTCCCAAAGCATCGACCAATGAAATTGATTAGCTCTGCTTAGCTTTAGCTTGAAATGTTAATCATTGAAATCAGTCAAGACATTCACCTTTTGAACATCTACATCAGGTTTAAACATTCTACCTCAATTAAAAGCAGAGTTTTTATGTTCCAAAGTCTTGACCAATCAAATTTCTTATCACTCCTTAGCCCAGGCAGAAAATTCGCACAATCGAACATAGTCGAGGTAATGATATAACGAATCTATATTCAGTGTTTCATCGATCTCACTTCAAGTTTGAACATTCTACATCAATTAGAAGGAGAGGTATTGTGTTCCAAAGTCTCGACCAATCAAAGTGCTTATCGCTCTGCTTACCCTCAGCAGAAAAAGTTCATTATCGAACTTAGTCAAGGTATTGATGTAATAAAGCTATACACCAAGTGTCCTCACTCTCACTTAATTGTCCCCCGCCTTTCGAAGAAAGCAGGGGACTATTAAAATGGGTTCGTCCGTCTGTCTGTCTGTCTGTCCGTCCGTCCGTCCGTCCGTCCGTCCGTCTGTCTGTCCGTCACACTTTTTGGGACACAATAACTCTCTTCCTAATTGAGCTAGAATGTTTAAACTTGGTGTATGTGTTTATTAGGTCAATGCCTTGATGGAGTTCGAAGATGAGCATTTTCCGCTTAGGGTAAGCAGAGATAAGCAATTTGATTGGTTGATGCTTTGGGACACGATAACTCTCTTCCTAATTGGGCTAGAATGTTCAAACTTGGTGTATGTGTTGATTAGGTCAATGCCTTGATGGAGTTCGAAGATGAGCATTTTCCGCTTAGGGTAAGCAGAGATAAGCAATTTGATTGGTTGATGCTTTGGGACACGATAACTTTTAATTGAGCTAGAATGTTCAAACTTGGTGTATGTGTTTATTAGGTCAATGCCTTGATGGAGTTCGAAGATGAGCATTTTCCGCTTAGGGTAAGCAGAGATAAGCAATTTGATTGGTTGATACTTTGGGGCACGATAACTCTCTTCCTAATTGAGCTAGAATGTTCAAACTTGGTGTATGTGTTGATTAGGTCAATGCCTTGATGGAGTTCGAAGATGAGCATTTTCAGCTTAGGGTAAGCAGAGATAAGCAATTTGATTGGTTGATGCTTTGGGACACGATAACTTTAGTTCTAATTAAGTGAGATTGATGAAACTTGGTGTATAGTTTCATTACAGTAATACCTTGACTAAGTTTGATAATGAGCATTTTCTGCTCAGGGTAAGCAGAGCGATACGCAATTTGATTGGTCGAGACTTTGGAAAACAATAACTCTCCTACTTTGATTGTCCCCCGCCTTTCGAAGAAAGCAGGGAACTATTAAAATGGGTTCGTCCGTCTGTCTGTTTGTCTGTCTGTCCGTTCCGCTTATGGTAAGCAGAGATAAACAATTTGATTGGTTGATCTTCGAATTGAGTAAATGTTCATGCTTATTGTCCCCCGCCTTTCGAAGAAAGCAGGGAACTATTAAAATGGGTTCGTCCGTCTGTCTGTTTGTCTGTCCGTTCCGCTTAGGGTAAGCAGAGATAAACAATTTGATTGGTTGATGCTTTCGGACACTATAACTTTAGTTCTAATTAAGTGAGAGTGATGAAACTTGGTGTATAGTTTCATTACAGTAATACCTTGACTAAGATCGATAATGAGCATTTTCTGCTCAGATTAAGCAGAGCGATAAGCAATTTGATTTGCTGAGACTTTGGAACACAATAACTCTCTAATTATTTTCCTATTTCGGCGGGGGACATCAGCCTCACT